GCGGGACTGTGCCCCTGCTCTGCGTTGCCGAGATTTAGTAGTCTGTGACAAGCTGACACTTCCAATTAAACTTACTAGTTCCCGGTAGGTCTCCTTTCAGTGGAATTTTGCTTGAAGTTTCTCAGCAGGACGCATGTGGGTGTATTAATGAGTCTCTCTGATCCCCTTACCACGGAGGCATTGAATGTGCTGCCTCTTCGCTGGCAGCCATGTTCTAATCCCGATGAATGTCTTTTGTAAGAATTTGAAATGAATCTTTGGTTTTGTCTTTAAGACCGACGTTATTGTCAACTCCGTTCCCTTGAAACTTGGGCTCGATGGAGGGCCCCTTTCACAGGCCCTCTTAAAAGAAGCTGGGCCAAAACTCCAGGAGGAATTGAATGCAGTTGGACAAGGAGTAAGTGTCAATGTGGGCACAGTTCTCCAAACCAGTGGTTGCAATCTGCACTGCCACTGTGTGCTTCACGTGGTGGCTCCGCACTGGAAAGATGGCAACACATCTTCACGAAAGGTAGGGTCTGCTTTAAAATGTTCTTTGACACATTCGGCATTTATTTTTTTGGGATGGCTAACTTGGCATAGCATAATCTTCTCTAATGCCATCCATTTCCCTGCAAATGCAAGTGGGGTAGGGAGGGAGAGCATGGGAGGAAAACTACCTCTAGATAGGGAATAGGGGTGGGAGGGAAAGGGAGGGAGAAGGGGAATAGCTAGGATGGTGGAAGGAGACAGTCATCATTATACAAAATACATGTATGAAGATGTGAATTTGGTGTCAACATACCTTATATACAGAGATATGACAAATGGTGGTATAAAGGTGTATTAAGAATTGTATGCAAAAAAATAAGAGAGCTCATGTATGATAGCATAATTTGGCATGAACATACTTTATATACAGAGTTATGAAAAATTATGCTGTGAATGGATAACTATGAATGTAATGTACTCCATTATTGTCATGTATGTAAGAAATAAAAAAAAATTCTATGACACGGCTCTAGGAGAGGCATAATGTCCCTCTCCTCTCTGAGAGGACCCACCCTTTTCCTTGAGAGTATCCCCTTTCCCTTTTACTATCCATTCAATCAACTCATTTCTATTAGTCTGAATTTTTTTTTTTTCCTATGACCAGGGTAGCCCCTTGGACTCTTCTTTCAGTGTGCTCTAAGGTAGACCCTGTCTGTTTCTATTCTGTAATACTGTGACTTTCTGGTAGAAGGTTTTTATCATTATGGCCATTTCTTTCAGCCATAGCTGACTTGTTCTGGGAACTAGTTAGTAATACAAATTGATTATTATGCTCAGTAATTAGTGGGGGTCAGGAAAAGTGACTGAAGATTATACTACTTTATGGAAGGTGAGGCCAGGAGATGGAAGACAGTGAAGGATAAGACGAATTGTTGCTTTTCTTCTTTCCTTCATGGTGAATTGAGTTTGAATCGTTGTAGAAGAGCTCTTACATTCTCATTTCCTTTTCCTCGTCTGTATTTTATCTTTCCTCTTCTGATTTCTCTTAACCTCAGTTGAAAGCAAAACGGAGTAGATAGAGATCACAGCCATAGGTGCTGAATTCTCGTCCTTTTGATCTAACTCAAGATATATAAAGATGTGCTTTGTGCTTTTCAGATCATGGAAGACATCATCAGAGAGTGTTTGACGATCACTGAGAAATTGTCCTTAAAATCAATTGCATTTCCAGCAATAGGAACAGGAAATTTGGGATTTCCTAAAAACGTATTTGCTGAACTGATCACTTCAGAAGTACTCAAATTTAGTAGCAAAAATCAACTGAAAAAACTACAAAAAGTTTATTTTGTGCTGCACCCAAGTGATCATGAAAATATTCAGGTACAGTCTTGTCTTATTCCTGATTATTTTGGCAATCTCTGTGTGGAGCATCATGTTCTCAAATGTCTTCTTGGTCTAATAGGATGTTTCTTTAATGTTGTCCCCCAAGAGGGAAAGTAAGAGAGTCATGTTGACTAGTTGTACATTGACAAGTGTCAAGAAAAATTACAGACATAGAAAAAAGTTTAACTACATATTCAGGAAAATTAGAAACACATGCAAAAGTAGATTTAAAAAAAAAGTCTAAGGAACTCCCTTAGGAACATCCATTATCAACCCGTGGCCAATATGTTTGATCTCTGTCTACACTTATTTCCCCTTCTCTCATATTATTTCCCTTCRTCAAATATTTGAAGGAAATCCCAAAGCATAATTTTTCTCTAAACATTCATCAATTTATTTTAAATGAGGATTCTTTTTAAAAAAAATAACATCACTACAATACTATTTCATACCTAAAATCAATTGACAATAATTCCTTTACTTGATCAGTTATAAAGACAGTGTTCAATTTTCCAACCATCTCATAAATGTTTTATTTGGTCTTCACAGCTTTGAATCAGAATCCAAATAAGGCTCACATATTGTAGTACAGTTGACATACTCCTTAAGACTCCTTAAGAAACCTATAGGATTCCTTTCATGGACCTAMAAATTTTAATAATATTATAAAAATATAGTTTTTACATTTTTACATAGTTTTAACATGGTTAAATGTCAGGATGGGACACAAGTGCTTCCTGGATTTGCAATGGACTGTAATGTGAAGGGTTGATGAGAAAGAGTAAGCACCGCCCCATGTGAGCAGGAGAGAAATGCCAGCACCATCTTCAGTCATAGTCTGACAATCAGGTCACATGTACTAAATATCAGCTGTGGGTGAGACCCTGGCCTGGGCATGATGGGAGAACCATAGACATTTAAGCCCTCATCCCTRCCCTCTGAGTCTTTATAATCTAGTAGCGCAGATGACAATAAATGTTTGAGAAGTTACACGATTTTGCAAGAATTTAACAAACAGATTGAAGCCAGGGCTCCAAAAGATATCCATGGATAAAAGGAGGATCTGAATTTTTAGGTCGTATTTTATTTTATTATTCTTATTTTTTAATCTGGACACTATCTATAAGTTCTTTGGAAGCAAACAAATCTTAACCTCCATTTTAATCAGGCAGCTACGTCACCCGAGAAAAATAGGTGGTCCACTTGCTTGGCCTGTATAATTACAGATACTTTTGCTCAGTACAAGACTTTTTAATAATTTCCCTGTGACTTAAATCATGTGAAGTGATGTGGGTCATGGAACAAGGTATGTAGCACATATTTTGCTGTCTATAAATCATACTTCCTCTGGGCRCTAGGATCTATACACACAGAGCAAACTAAATCAGAACACGAAGTGTTGAGCATTATTGAATGAATGACTGAGTGGAGAGATGGGAGAGTTTCATGACACAGACCTGAACCATCATATCTCACTATTTTCTAGCAATCCCAGTCTACATTTTTCCCTCTAAACACTCAGAGTACTCTGCAAATGTTCTATAACAAGCTTTAGTCTCTACAGACACCATCAATGTCATTTGAAATGCTATTGATTTTACATAAGCATTGTTGTTCCATTTTGTCTCTCTCTCTCTCTCTCTCTCTCTCTCTCTCTCTTTTTTTTGGTACCAGGGATTGAATTCCATGGTACTTCACTAGTGAGCTGCATCACTGGCCCTTTTTATTTTTTATTTTGAGACAGGGTCTCACTAGGTTGCTTAGGGCCTCACTAAGTTGGTGAGGCTGGCTTTGAATTTGTGATCCTCCAGATGTTCAAAAAAATGATGTGACCTAAAAATTGAAAAGACTTGATAAGCTAGAATGAAATTGCTGCTTGGAACAATTTGCTGGGACTGAGTGGCAGGTGTCTTCTAATTCTCCAAACTCAAATCAGTCCACTTCTACTGGGGTACTTTACCTGCCTGACTCCCGGAGGCTGGTGATTCTGAGACCTCACTAAGCAGTCTCTTCCCATCCCTCTCCCATCACTGTGTCAGAATTCAGCCAGGATTCTATCCTCACCCCCCAATAAAAGTCTCTGTTGTTTATTTAACAAGGAGGAAGAAAGTGATGATTTTGCAAAGAAATGAAATTCACATATTCATCAACACTAGAATACATTCACTAGCCAMGTTGCTGAGGCTGGCTTTGAACTCACATCCTCCTGCCTCAGCCTTCTGAGTCACTGGGATTACAGGCATGTGTTACTGAGCCCAGCCTCCCATTGGATTTTAACTTATTTTTTTCTCTAWTATGAATAGCACTCTGATGAATATCCTTGTATTTTTATCTGTGTTCATATCTTTGTTAATTTTCATAGCACACATTTRTAGAAAGGGAATTATATGTATTATTTTCATAACTTTAAAAATCCATAAATAAATAAATAATATTGTTTAACATTTTTTTGTTCTAAATCTGTATATACACTTGCCAGATGAAAAACCCTGATAAATCAAACTCGTTCATCAACTGGATGGTAATGGTCAAAACTGTGTTTGTATTTCCAGGCATTTTCAGATGAATTTGCCAGAAGGAAAARTGGAAATCTTAGTGACAAAATCCCCAAGGCTGAAGATACAAAAGGTTCAGTAAAGCTTTTAAATTGACAAATGCTTTCTAGTTTCTAAGTAACTATCCAAGTGACTGGTAGAAGATGATAGTGATGGTTTTTCTGGAAAAAAAAATTGAGTGATAAATAACATAATTATTTTCCATACACCTAAGTGTGCAAGACACTGGCCATGTTTATCTGATCTGGGGTAAAAGAGAAAAGAGGGCCACATTCTGTAATTCATATAGTGGGTATTTAAGTAGTGACAACACTGCTACTTTCAGAGCATAATATAGCATGTATTTTCTAAAACAGACGTGTTGAAAGACCATGTCAACCAAATGCTTCTCCTCTGTCAAATTTGCTGCTGCTGCTGTTTTTCAGTTTATCCTGTTTGAAGTTCATTGAGGTTTTTTCTTTTTCTTTTTCTTTTTTTTGAAATGGGGTTTCAATGTGGTGCCTAAGGTRGCCTCTAACATGGCAGGTGTGCACCACTATGTCCAGCTTCACTTAGGCTTCTTGAGACTAAAAAAATGTCTTTTATCAAATTTGGGAATTTGGGGGGCATTATTTCTTCAAAWTTTTTTTTCTGCACTTTTCTGTTGCCTTTTGATAGTCCAAMCATGTGACTGCAAAACTTTTCAGTCATGTCTCTCAGGTCTCTGAGTAGTTGTTCTTCTCCCTGCCAGTCCCCCACCTCCCGCCCTGTGCTTTTTTCTCTCTTCTCTACAGATTGGATAATTTATATTGATCTGCCTTCAAGTTCACTGAATCTTTTCTCCATCCACTCTGCTATTGAATACATTCAGTGAAATTTTATTTCAGATAGTGTATTTTGGAGTTCAAAAATGTCCATTTGGTCCTGTTTTGTATGGTTTCTAYTTTTCTGCAAAGAGGTCCTGTCCTTTCATTCATCCAAATCATTTCCATTCATTCAAATATGTTTACTCTGACCTCATGGATCATAGTTACAGCAGATGCTAATAATTCCAACATCTGGATCACTTTGGAATTGACATTTATTGTTTTTATCTTCAAAAGTTGGTCATTTTTTCTGGTTCTTTATATGACAAGCAATTTTGGAATGTAGACTGGACCTTTGGAATATTATGTTATGAGACTTGGGTCCTATTGAAATCTGAAGAGTGGTGGTGGTTTTTCTTGTTTAATGGTCAGTCGGTCAAGTTCATTCTGCGAGTTCTGTCTCACCTTCTGAGTGGGCAAGGTTCTAAGGTCAGTTAAAGACTTAGCTGGGCTGCCTTGGGCTTGCCCCACACCTGGGCAGCTCTGGGGGAGCTCAGGACTTATTCCAGTTCATGTATAGGATCAGGTGATCCCCTTCTCCAGTGTTCACCTTTCTATGATTCCCTTCCACTCTCTGGCTTGCGGAGCCCATTTTTGAGGTCCTCTGGCCATAGGGACAGGGATCACTCAGAGTTCAGTTTACCTGTTACATTGCCTCACAGTTTTTCATCCCCAGGGTTGCCCTTGGGTAAAGTGGAGAGAGAAAAGAAAAATGTTCCATACAAACATTGAGCCTTACCTATGTGAGTGTGTGTGCGTGCATACGGACATTTTTTTTTTTTTTTCAGAACATGGGAGACCCCTTTTCTCTAATTCTTTTGGCCACACTTTATAGGATGTCTCTCAGAGTTGTAGCTCTCTGCAGTGCCAATGTGCAGTTCTGCAACTGGGGTCACTTTGAGCAAGTACCCGGATTAAAACTGTGTGTGTGTCAGCACACACATGTGTAAAAACAGAGGATTCCCTCCCATAGCTTTCAGCCCACAGAGACCCTTTCCGCAATCCTTTGACTGCAAAGACAAGGATCGTGTGAGAGGATTTTGCTGCCCATTATACAGTTCTTTTTACTCTAGGGGAGAAAAAAAGAAACATTTAAAAATGAAACCAAATGTGAAAATCTCCCCTGTACAGATTGCTTCTACATGTTTCACCCCCTTGCCTAGTCTGCCTGCTGTTTACTTTTTAAAGTTCTCAAGTGGTGGCTTTTTGTGTCTGTCCTGAGTTTTTCTTTGTAATTGTGAGAGACACAGATCCTTAGAAGGCTAAGTTCACCTTGGTCAAACCCAGAGCTATGTTTGTCCTATATTTTCTAATCTTTTTCGAGAAACAGTTAGTTCATGCTGACTTGATTATTGACTCTACCTTTTTTCTTTGTAGGTTTCTATGGGACTATCTCCAGCCCTGATTTAGGAGTGCATGAAATGCCGATTGGCCCCATCCTCTTCCAGGTGGCCTCTGGAGATATCACCAAAGAGGCAGCAGATGTGATTGTAAATTCAACATCAAATACGTTTAATCTCAAAGCAGGTACTTTACTAGTATGGTTTTCACTAGTGTAATTATTGACCTGGTAGATCCTATGAGGGAAGGTTTCTATAGCCAAGCTGGTTTTGATAACTTTGGCTTATTGATATTAATTTTTTAAAAAATTATTTTGACAAGTGTTCTTATAATTGGCACCAGTTATTTTATGAGTTTTTCTTCCTCTTATTGGCAATACCTAGATTATAGGATTTCGTTGAAAATGAGGAATGTGTTTAGATAATAAGCTGATCTTTCTGATCCAAATGCACTGTCATGATTTTATTCATATTTGTTACCATCTTGATTTTCTTGTGTAGGTGTCTCCAAAGCAATTCTAGAATGTGCAGGACAAAATGTGGAGGCGGAATGTTCTCGAATGGGTAAGGCAAAATGCTATCTTCTGGTCCCAAATTATGAGCAGAAGCCTGCATAGGGAAGGCTTTGAAGAGCTGAGGAATGTCTTGGGATTGGGAAGACAACACATTAGTCTTAAAAATCATACAGTTTAATCATCTATTCCTGGAAGATTAGCCAACATCTCAATCATCAATCAATCATCAATCAATCATCTATCTATCAGTCTTTGGCAAGCACCCACCAATTCAAATGGTAGAATAGGAGAAGTAAAAAAATAATCTCACAGTTAGAAAGAGAAATTAAGCCACAATTTCATCAAAGAGGGTTTCTTATTTTTGCTTACTAAACAAAGAATAGCTTCAACATCTAATTTTGTATCTTTTTTTTCTTCATCCGTGTTTCCCAGCTCAACAAGGCAAAAACGAGTATATAATTACAGAAGGTGGATTACTGAGGTGCAAGAGTATCATCCATGTTGTTGGTGGAAATGATATCAAGAAGTCAGTTTCCTGTGTTTTGCAAGAGTGTGAGAAACGGAATTACTCATCCATTTGCCTCCCAGCCATTGGGACAGGTGTGTAGCCACTGGCTATCAACGCTGAATCCCACAGCGTCCAGTTTCCCTTAGGTCTGGTGCTGAGTGTGAATGTGGGTGATACACAACGAATCTGAGGGACAGCAGAGACGGTTAATCTAGGAGTGGACAGATTCCTCACCCCAAGGCAGTCACTTAGGGAATGACAAAAGCCTGGAGGTGGTTAAAGAGGAAAGAATGAGCTGGGTGCCATGACATGTGCTTATAGTTTGGGCTACTAGGGAGGCTGAGGCAGGAGGATCACTTGAGCCCAGGAGTTCGAGGCCAGTGTGGGCAACTTAGACCCCATCTCAAAAAATAAATAAGAAAGATAGGAAGAAAGAAAGGAGGGAGGGCAGAAGGGAGGAAGAAAAGAAAGAGGAAAAAATGAAAAAAGAAAAGAATTGAAGAGAATGTGGGATGTCAGAGAGAAAGGAAGGGAAAGAGAGGGAGAAGAAAAGGAGGTGAGTGGAAGGAAAGACTTTCCCTCAGGCTGTTTCATCAGCTCTCTCTTTATTGACTCCCTGCGTATCCTCCATTGTTTCATTCTTAACTTCCTCTTCTGTCCCCTCCACGTGGACCACATCTGTGCAGCTGCTTCCATCTGGCTCATCTGACCTCTGGGTGAGCGCCTGCAGCCCTCCACTCAGTGGTTGCCTGTGTCTGCTGGTCTTGGACCTCTGTACAGAAGCCTCTAGGTCAGCAGAACCTCTGGGTCAGAAACTCAGCTCTACACCTTCCTTTCTCCAGCCAACTTCTTTTGAGTTTCTTATTTTCCTCAACCTGTGCAATGACTGTGTGGTTCTTTATAGATAAGCATAGTGCTTTGGGTCTATCATTAGTGAGCTGAAGCCCTTCAAGCTCTTCCCCCAAGAATCAGAGTCATGTTAGGAATTTCTGCTTGGTCTCCCTTAGAGAGCAGGCCAGGAGTGGCACCTACTCTCAGGCTGGACGTCTCAGAGGATAGTGTCTGACTGGTCCCAGTGAGTGAGCACTGAGCATTGGAACTGACATTCTGTTGCTGAAAATCTATGAGTATCTTAGACTGGCACCAGCCTCTCCCAAAGTTCATTCTCAATAAGTTTAATCACCCTTGTCATTTTCTGGGCCTTCTTCTAAACTTTTGATCCACATCTTTCTTTCTGCAATTCTATGCCATTGCTCATAAAGTTCCTAAAAGGAATTTCATGTCTGCTTTACTACTTTTATTTCTAAAATTATAATTTATGATACTTATATGTTTTTGTTCTCCAGTGATATCATCCATTCATCATCCATTAATCATCCTGGAAGATTAGCCAACATCTCAACAATCAATCAATCAATCAATCATCTATCTATCAGTCTTTGGCAAACACCCACCAATGGCTCCCCAGTCTCTGTCTTCATCTTTATTTCCCTGTGATCTCTAATCTTGTGTTTCCACCTTAAGTTACTTTGGGACAATAAAGCAGCAGCTCAGTTGTGGCACAGATCTTCCCTGGGTAGAGTTAAAAGAAGAAACAAGGGAAGGTGGACATTTTAGTATTGTGTAAATATATACACATCTTGCACTATGTCTTAGTTACTGCCAACCTGTTGTTTCTTCTGCTGACCTGATCTGAACAAATAAATCAGGGTTGGCAGGTTCTTCTTGCTTGTCTTCTTTGGCTGTCTTCTTCACCACCTGAGCTGGTCTTTGGACCCCCAGATGGGAAGAGTTATGGTTGGGACTGTTAATGTCACCCCAAAAGCTCATGCCCCAAAAGCATTAGACAATGAAGGAATATTCAAAAGTGTAATGATTAGATTATTAGAGTTATAATCTCATTGCTGCGTTAATCCACAAGATGGATTAATAATTTGAGTGAACTACTGGGTACCAACTATAGAGAGGTTGAGGGTGTTGGAGGAAGTTGGTCACTGGGTGTATGCCCCTGGACAACAGCTTGTCCCTGGCTCCTCTCTTGTCTCTCTCTGCTTCTTGCCAACCATGATCTGAGCAGCTTTCCTCCACCACACTTTTCTATCATAATGTTCTGCCTCATTTGGTCCCAGAGCAGTGGAGTCAGCCAACTATGAACTGAACCTATGAAACTGTAAGCCCCAAATAAACTTTTCCTCTGCTAAGTTTTTCTGATCAGCCTTTTGACCACAGTGACTGGGAGCGTCCACCTTAGTGATGTTTATGAGTTGCCCTGTGACTGTGATCAAGACAGCTTCCTGCAGGGAAGGCCTTCTCCCTATTCCTTATAGACACCTGCATAAGGGGAGGTAATGGCTGATCAAAAACACCTGAGAGTCAGTGCAAACTCCAAATTCCCATTCATTGTCTTCCCCCTCAATCCTGCCTTCCCCCTTAAATCCCCAGGTGTGTGAAAAGCTTTACTTTCCATCTGGAATCCTTGACTCCTTGTCACTCTTATGCTCATTAGATTGCTAGTTAGTTTAAATGTATATACCCCAAACACAGTCGATAGAAAGATGACTAAGAGTTCAGTCCACAGGAGCACCTAGCCTGGAGGTAAATGAGTTAGGTAAATGAACACCTGCAGTACAACGTGACCCATGATATGGTGAAGGTATGTGGGGGAAAAAGAGAGGAAGGGAAGGGTCAAGGACAAACTCTGCTGGTCATAGTCCTCCTGATTTGGCTTCCTAAATATCTCCTCGTTCCTATACCCTACTCTTCATTATGGCCTCTTGTCTTTCTTAGTTCAGCACTTGTGTTTCATCTAAAGTCTTATATTAGTTTCCTACCTAGAGCTGGATTTCCCACTCCAGTGCCTTCTCTATCCCCTCCAGATTTATCTTTCTCAAAAATTGGTGTGCTTTCCTGTCCAGGCCAGGCTGAACATACCATTCCCCTGTGACATAGTTCTATCTGGCATAAGTTTTCCAAACTTCCCCCATTGTTTATTCCACATATCACACACATTCTCTGTGTCCTAATAAGTGGCTAGCTGAATATCTATCCTGTTATGGGACATGGTAGATGTTTATTGAGAGTGAATGAGTGAATCTAAATTCTTCCAAGTACCACATGAAAACCACAGCTTTTTATGGAGTTTCCTTCTGTCCCTGATCATTTCATTTATTTTTTTTTTCTTTCTTTTTTTTTTTTTAAGATAGAGGGGAGAGAGAGAGAGAGAGAGAGAGAGAGAGAGAATTTTTAATATTTATTTTTTAGTTCTCGGCGGACACAACATCTTTGTTGGTATGTGGTGCTGAGGATCGAACCCGGGCCGCACGCATGCCAGGCGAGCGCGCTACCGCTTGAGCCACATCCCCAGCCCCTGATCATTTCATTTAAAAAGCTGAAAAAACTATCTTGATTAATTTTACATAGGGATCATCCACATTGCCATAATTGTCTACATTGTCAAGTCAAAGAGGTCTACTCTCATTTTCTGTGATGGTGGTAGACACCATTATTAGGGATAATCCAAATCAGCTCCCTAATCAGTCATACCAGGTTGGTGACATTTTTACATTGCCTACTATGTGACCTGGCCAGCTGACATTCACATGGACCACTTCCATAAGCTGAAAGGGACTTTTCATGATCTTACCTAGGCAGTGGCTTTCATGACTTGAGAAAAACAATATGGAGCATGCTGAAAACAGGAATGGATCTGATTACTGGGCTACCTTGAACTCTGGTGGTTCAAGGAGGAAAAAACACTTCTGTGTGTGGGAGAAAAGACTTCCTGGAGGCTTAGGATAACTTGTGTGCAAAGAATTATAGATTATGACTATTAGCTGACAGTTCTGGGTATCATATAAAATTATCTTAGTTGAAATTGATTCCCCCAAAGAAAAATAAAAATGGGGACAGATATTATGGAAATCAAAGGGAGATCAGTAGAGGAAAGCAATCAAGGAGTGGGGGAGGAGAGTGCTGGGGAATGATATTGGCCAAATTATATTGTAATATTGTGTGCATGTGCAAATATATGACAATAAATCCCAGAATTATGTACAACTATAATGTACCAATAAGACAATGTGGAAAAAACTACACATTAAAAAAATAAAATAAAATCAGGTCCCCCAAAATATCTGTGAAAATATGGACACATGCACAAAATCAAGTGATGACTGAGTAAAAAAGAACATTTTTCTCTCTAAAGAGCGTGTTGTTTCAACATATATTAGCATCTTCTGCTTTTTATGGATCCTTTGAATCCACTAGTGAACCAAAAAGAAAAGTTCTCAGGGACAGAACTTTGTACTCTGTAACAGGACACAGTGATCTGGGATCAGCAGAACAGGTCAGATAGAAATGTCAGAAACCAGAAGTTAGGTTTCAGGATCCCTGTTCCTTACTTGGTTGTTGGCTTCCTTGATATCCTGGGTGGAAAAACTCCCCATTGCATCCAGAATTTCAAAAGTGTTTGCAGATGTATTGTTAGAACAGTTCAACGTCGTGACCCATGATACGGTGAAGGTATGTGGGTGGCAAAAATTGGATGAACAGTTGGGGAGTGGGCATTTATTCTGTGAGATTTGTAATGCCTAATTTATTCCTGAGCTTTTTTTTTTTTTTTTTTTTTTGGATTTTTTTTCCCTGCTAGTCAATTTTTGTTATTTGCTTTTCCAGGACAAGCCCAACAAAACCCAGATACAGTTGCTGAAGGTACAATGGATGCCATTGAAGACTTCGTCCAGAAAGGATCCGTCCAGTCTGTGAAAAAAGTGAAAGTTGTTATCCTTCTGCCCCAGATCCTGGATGTGTTTTATGCCACCATGAAAAAAAGAGAAGGATCTCAGGCTGCCCCTCAGCAGTCTGTGATGTCTAAATTTGCCTGTGAGTTGTTCATTTCTACTTCATATGTAATTCCTAATATTGCCATCACATGAGAAATAGCTAATCTTCCTTTTCTCTTTAGCATTTTTGGGCTTTTCAAAGCAATCTCCCAAAAAACAGAATCCCTTGGTTTTGGAAAAGAAAACAGAATTGGTAGTTTTCCAGGTGTGTGGTGAAAATATAAACAATGTGGACAAAACTATCTCCTGGCTACAAGAACTCATTAAAAAGGAGCAGTGTTCTTACACCAGTGAAGATGAGTGTATCAAAGACTTTGATGAAAAGGAGTACCAGAAACTGAATGAGCTACAGAAGACTTTAAATATTACCATTTCCCTGAACCAGAAGAGACCTTTAATTGAGGTTTTGGGAATTAGCAGAGATGTGCTACAGGCTCGAAATGAAATTGAGGAAATGATCAAGAGCATTCGATTGGCCAAAGAAAAGGAAACCCGGGCAGATTGCATCAGTGACTTTATAGAATGGCAATATGATGACAATAACGTTTTTGTTCCTTTTGACAAAATGACCAGTCTGAAATTGGAGGATGCAAGGAGAGCAAAGAATAAGAACGTTGTTGTCAAAATTAATAATCAGAACTATACAGTGAATCTGAACACATACATTGCCACAGATCCACATGGACACAGTGTAACTATTCAGCGCCTCACAAAATCTGAAGGTGAGTTAGATTTTCACGCTTGTCATCTGTCATTTTAAACCTACTTTGGGCTTAACACTATTTGGATATGTATAAAATTTTCAAGTAGAAAAAACTCCAGTAACCCTAATGGAATAAACTAAAAGACTTGGTCTCTGAGCGTAAAGAGTTTTCTCTTTGACCAGGGACACACAGCATGGACATGATCCCACAGTCTGAGAATGCCCATCTTAATGATACCAATAGCCAAACCTTGCATTTGTTCCTGTCTCTAATTTATGAGCTTCCCCAGAGCCAGCTCTGCTGGGGAGGTAATGGCTGCATCAGCCACGGAAGGGAAGAAAATAGGCCCAAAGAGAAAGGGGCCCAAGATTTTCTAGAGGGGAAAAAACAGGACAGAATGGTCAGAGGGGGCCTCTCTGTGTCCCTGGTGACCCTGGGAGCATCCTAATTCTGTTCCCAGAAGTCATCTCTGTCCTGAGCAGCAGTTTCCTTGACACACATCAGGAAGCTACCCAAGGATCCTGGGACTGGATTTGCTCCCCAAGAAGGGAATGCCTGTCCCATGTAAACCCCATCCCTGCCCTCCACACATAAGTCGCCCAGTGGGAAGCAGTAACTTGGCTTCCCATACACCATGTTCATCTCTTGTGAGATGAGTATGAATGAATTCCAGAGATCCTGAGCACACTGGGGAAATGACGTGACCAATCATGTGTAGTAGTCAGGATAGGAGGGAGGTCTGCCACCACAACCTGCCAAATGGCAAAATGTACCCCACACTGACCTCTTAAGGACATGGTGAAAAACAATGAGAAAATAGATGTGRAGTACACAGTGGTGATGGCAAGGAGGGGTTCTGGCAAATTCTATGCATAAGCAAAAGAATAGTAACTATTTCAGACAGGTAGGAAAATAATGTGTTGTTTAATTGTGTCAGAGTAGAGGCTGAATAGAAACTAAAGATGAGGTATAGTGCACCAGTGGCTGTCCCATCTTAGCATGATCAGAACTTAAGATGAAGAGTCGCGGGCTTCACCCCTGGAGACCTTATGCAACAGGTGTGAGGTTTCTGTTTTGTTTGGTGTTGTGGATCAAACCCATTATGCAGGCTCAGCAATGTTTTATCGCTGAGCTGAATCCTAGCCTCTCTGGTTTGTTTAGTTTGTTATTTTTTGTATGTACTTAGGTACTAGGAATTGAACCCAGGGGCTCTACCACTGAGCTACATCCCGAGGCCTTTTTAATTTTTTTTTTTTTTTTTAAATTTGAAACAGTTTCTCTCTAATTGCCTGGGCTGGCCTGAACCTGGGATCCTGTTGTCTCAGCCTCCTGAGTTGTTGGGATTATAGGTATGCCACTGTGCCTGGCCCCTTTTCTTTTCTTTCTTTTTTAAAACCTTTATTGTATTTATTTATTTTTATGTGGTGCTGAGGATCAAACCCAGTGTCTCACACATGCCAGGCAGGCACTTTACCACTGAGCCACAACTACAGCCCTTTTTTTTTCTTTTTTTTTAATGTATTTTTTTAGTTGTATTTTTTAGTCTGTGAAAATATGGAAACATGCACAAATTCATTTTTTTTAATGTGGTGCTAAGGATTGAACCCAGCACCTTGCATGTGCTAGGCGAGCACTCTACCGCTAAGCCCCAGCCCCAGCCCCTCTTCTGTTCTTTTTAATAATAAGAATTCAGTTGGTTCTGATATTGATTGTCTATGATCCACACTTGGAAAAAAAAAATATCCTAGGAAGATAAGGAAATGGAATCATGGAATTAGGAGATTGTAACGCAAGAGCACAGATGATACTCAGTTAATTCAAAGCATACCAAGCATGTGCAGCAGAACCCTCAAATGTCTGCTTTGCAGTTGAAATCCCTGAGTACTGGAGTGACATGAAGCAGCAGAATTGGTGTGCGGTGGAGCTGCATCCAAGGGATCCAGAATACACCACTGTGGCAAGCAAGTTTAACCAGACCTGCTCACAGTTTGTCATAGAGAAGGTAAGTCAACTGCTGACATCATGTCTCTTGATGGCAGAGATAACTGATATCATGGCCCTGTCTAAATGCATTTTTATTCATTTTCTATTGCATTTTTTAACCAGAATTAGAATATTTATGGGTAATTAGATTCTAGATTCTATTTATGGCACCACAATTACTAAAATTTAAAGTCTCGTGTCAGTTGTTACAACACAATCTTAGACGACAATCCCATGTTAGAATATTAAAGATACATCATATTTACTTTGTGAAGCAAGTTAATAAAATTTAATGATATGGCTTCAAAGTTGGATTTGATAACTAGCAAACATGAGATAGTGATGCATGGAGGGTCCTCACTCAGGATTCTGCTCTTTTGCTCCTGTGTTCACAGGTCAGAGGGTGCTAACTGCCTTGATAAACCCTGTAGCCTTTTCCCTATTCTTCTCAATTATTTTGGCATCTTCTATGTTTAAACATCATTAATACTGTCTTTTGAAATGATGTTCCTATCTGACTTATGTGAAAAGATATTTGACTTTTTTCTCCCTCTTTAGCTAATTTCCCTCTCATTGTCAGTGTGATCTGTTTTTCCTCCATAGGACTCTCAGTTTGGTCTTCTGTCTCTGTATCTCGCCAGGGAGATTTTCACCCCTCTTGCGTTCAGCCATTCTTTCAATCTTGATAATTCCTAARTCAACACCACCAAACTGTATCTTTTACTCAAGTTTCTAGAACTTACTCAAGTGGCCTAAAACCTCTCCACTTGAATGTGTAACTGCTAAATCAACTTTTCTAAGTCTAACTCATCATCTATTACTTCTGTGTTCTCTTCCTTCCCCAYTTTTGTCCTTGATTCCACCATTTGCTGGGAAAATCAGAGTTCTTTGATTACCTTCCATTCATCTGTAATAATGAGTCTGCCAGTAAGGCTTTCATTTTTTTTTCTTTGCAAATTTTCTTTACTGCCTGCCATCATTCTGTTTATTCATGTAGTTAAACACATGATGATTCAAAAAGATCTCCAGTGTCCTACAAAGATATATACTATACCTTTAGATAAAATAAATAGATGAAGAAAAATGGATAAAGAGAGAAAGAAGGTAGAGAAAATAAGATAATACCTAAATATTGCCAGGTCACAATATAACACAAGGTCTTTGACAGTTGTACATTTGTCCCTGAGTTTCCTAATGGACAAAGCCAAGAAGTAAATACCTAGTAGTTACAAGACTCATAACATCCACAATAAAAGAATAAACCTTCTGATGAYGAGACTCATGGCTCTTCACAATTCTGAGACTGACTCCTGAGAGATTTCTCCGGTGGCCTCAAGTATTGGAGAATATCCTTAACATCATCTTCATGATAAATTCAATATCAAATTTATATCACCTTTTCTTAAACCTCCTTTAATGTAAACAGGTTGAACAAAACTGATGCCTGATTGAATGAAAACRATTCTATGAGGAACCAAGACAATGGGATTCAAGTGTGTAGCCATTTGATGGTCTAGTTCTGAGATAACAAAGTGTCATTCCAAATGCCAAAGACAGAAAACTGGTAGTGGCTGACTGGCTCATTTAACAAGATGCCAAATTCAGATGAGCTGGGATGAGCAACATCTGTAGCAGGCCCTGGGAGGCCTGCCATGGATGGACAGACCTCATCAGAGAAATGAATCCAATAATGTTTAAATAAAATCTTATGTGAAATCCCATTGTAGGAACCAGRAAATCCTAGTGTATGAACCCAATAAAAGCTGAAGTAGGTAGTACTTACGCTGTAATACACCTCGGTGTTGTTCCTGGTAGTATGAAAACACCAACATAAAAAATTGCTACTCTGTCATCTTGCATTATTGTTATGTCTTATGATTAAGACTTTTTAATGTCCACAAACCTTGTACTTAGATTCAACCATTTTACACATTTGCATTTGAAAGTTAAGTTGTGGACATCATGACACTCTAAATAATTTAGTACATATTTTTTAAGAACAAAGACATTCTCTAAATTACAAAATACCATTATACTATGTAAGAAAATTACCATTAATGCACTAATATCCAGTATAGACACCATATTTGAAATTCTCCAATTGCTTAACAAATCTTTTTTATTCCTATTTCCCTGCTATACCAACTTTGGTTATACACTATATTTGGTCATTATATCTTCCTCATATTTTCTAATATAGAATCGTACTCCTGCATTTTTTAAAATAATTTTTTCATGACATCAAATTTTTGAAGAGTTTAAGCCAATTGTGTTGTAGAGTGTCTCACATTCTGGACTTAATACCTTGGTATTTTRGAAAAAATTCCAACCAGTTTTCTTATAGATTCTAGGTTTGTCTGATTCATCATAGAGTCATTTAATTTATTTCTGTATACTCTTTATTTCTGGTAAACTGAGAATTAGATTTAAAGGTTGAGGTAAATTCAGATCAACATTTTTATAATACTTCATAGATGATATTTCACATGAGGAGTTTCATATGGTAAGTTTGTCCCACTGTTAATGATGCTAATATTAATGATGATGTTGACCCCAACCATCTTTTATCCATTGATTTTAACACCCCCTGATCATTCTTGCCCGAATCCATTGTGTCTACAAGATGGCATTCTAATGCTGGCATTCCTTTTGTATTTCTTATCTGGCTGTTTTTAAAAGAATAAGTTTTCTTCCCTCATGCTTTTAAAAAAGGTTTATTACATTGTATTTAATTAGAGTGATTATTCCTTTAGATGTAAAAATCATCCTATGTGTGGCTGGTGGGAAATTGGCTTCCATGTCTTTTTCCCTTACACTTGGAACATTTCTTCACTTCCTGGCATAAGGTCACTCATGCCTACTTTGTGCTTTCTCTGTCTCAGGCTTGGAACCAGTTGTTTCCCTAAAAATTCTGATTGCATGTAGTGGGGAACGGCAGTAAGAAAGCAGAGTTGTGTGCCGAGTGAGCTCACTGCTACTGAGGTGTTGTGATTCCAGGCCCTTTCGTTTCTAAAGCTAAGAAAATCATGAGCTCAAATTTATGTTTTCTGTTAAAATTTAATATTATAGACTTTTTCTTAAAATATTTTTATTTGTTTTATTTAKTTAGTTATACATGACAGTAGAATGCATTTATGCACTTTGATATATCATACATAGATGGGATATAATTTCTCATTTTTATGAGTGTACATGCTGCAGAATCATATTGGTCATGTTGTCACATATATACATACAGTAATAATGTCTGTCTTATTCTACTATCTTTCCTATCCCCACATTCTCTCCCTCCCCTCCCATAACTTCCCTCTACCTAATCTAAGGTAATGCTGTTCTTCCCTAGTGCCCCCCTATAAATTAGCATCTGCATATTAGAGAAAGCATTCAGCCTTTGGTTTTGTGGTATTAGCTGATTTCGCTTAGCATGATATTTTCCAGCTCTAACCAGTTATACCACACCTTGATATTTATCCACTGGCAAATGCCATAATTTCACTCTTCTTTAAAGCTGAGTAATATTCCATTGAGTATATATACCACATTTTCTTTATCCATTCATCTATTGAAGAACACCTAGCTTGGTTCCACAGTCTAGCTATTGTGAATTGAGCTGCTACAAACATTGATGTGGCTGTGTCACTATAGTATGCTGATTTTAAGTCCTTTGAGTATAAACCAAGGAGTGGGATAGCTGGTCAAATGGTGGTTCCATTCCCAATTTTCTGAGGAATTTCCGTACTGCTTTCCATAGTGGTTGCACCAATTTGCAGTCCCACCAGCCGTGCATGAGAGTACCGTTTTTCACTATATCCTTGCCAAAATTTATTGTTGCCTGTATTCTTGATGATTGCCATTCTGACAGGAGTGAGTTGAAATTTTAGAGTAGTTCTGATTTGCATTTCTCTAATTGCTTGAGATGTTGAACACTTTTTCATATATTTGTTGATCCATTGTATTTCCTCTTCTGTGAAGTGTCTGTTCAGTTCCTCAGCCCATTTGTTGGTTGGATTATATGCTCATATATGAACATGTGATCAGTGTAACTCCACATCATGTTCAACCACAAGAATGGGATCAAAATTGTAATGGATTACACACCATGTATATATGTCAAAACGCTCTCTACTGTCATGTACATCTAAAAGAAACAGATAAAAATAATCTAATATGATGCTTTAATATATTAAAAATAATAGATGAAGTGTCACTAGATTCAAAATGTATATTTTTCTAGAAAGAAGGCAATTACTGTCATAAAAATATAGTGTTAGAAAAATTATTATAGCTGTAAAGCATGTGATATGCCTATCTGTGACACAGTTAATTTTAAAAATATCACCAAGCATACAAATCGTAAGAATAAAATGCCGAACAATTAAAAAAAAAAAAACTACACTCAGATTCCATGTAACTTCAGTTAGATTGGCAGTCATCAAGAATAAAAGTAACAACAAATGCCTGTGAGGATACAGGGGAAAAGGAACTCTTGCACACTATTGGTGGGAATGTAACAGTATGGCCACTATGGAAATCACTATGGAGGTTCCTCAAAAGAGTAGGAATAGAACCACCATATAATCCAGTTATAGCCCACCTTGATATTTATCTAAAAGAATTAAAGTCAATATACTCTAGAGATACACTCATAACTATTTTATAGCAGCACAATTCACAACAGCGAAATTATGGAATCAGTTTAGGTGTTTGTCAACACCTATTTATGAATGAATAAAGAAAACATGTCTTATATACACGATGAAGTCTTCTTCCACCATCAAAAATGAAATTGTATCCTTTACAAGAAAATGGAACAGGAGAGTATCATGTTTAGCAAAATATGCCAGATTCAGAAAGTCAAGCATTGTGTTTCCTTTCGAAGCTACAGGAAAAAAGAGAAAAAAGGCGATGTTATGAAAATAGAAGGAAGATCAGTAGGTAGAGAAGTGGCATTAGGGAGAGGGAGGAAGGGGAAAGGAAGGTACTGGGGAAAGAAATTGCAAATTATGTTATGTGCTTGCACTAATATGCCACAGTGAACCCACTACTCTGTACAATTATTATGCATGAATAAAACACTTAAAAAAAGAAAATTTGATTTATAATAACATTAATTTTGTTTTATATTATAAATATGATACCAAAATTATTAGCAAAATTAAAATAGCAAGACTAACTTTCTTTGGTTAGTTTTAGAATGTTTCATCTTTTTCTAGTCTTTGTCTTTTTTTTTTTTTGTATTTTTTTAGTTGTAGTTGGACACAATACCTTTATTTATTTATTTTTATGTGGCGCTGGGGATCGAACCCAGTGCCTCACACGTGCTAGGCGAGTGCTCTACCGCTGAGCCCCAGCCCCAGCCCCATCCAGTCTTTGTCTTTTAATCATTTTATAGTTATATATTAGCTCGTATATTTAAAATGTGTCTCTTAGTAGCAGCATATGAGTTTTGTCTTTCTCCTTATCTTTTAAGTAGAGTACTTAATCTGTTTATTGCATTTAATGTGTTTACTGATGTTTGGGTTTAAATATTTCACTTTAATAATTTTAAAATCATTTTTATAACTTTATTTTATTTCTTTATTTTTTATGTGGTGCTGAAGACCAAATCCAGTGCCTCACACATGCTAGGAAGGTCTCTACCACTGAGCCACAACCCAGCCCTTAAATATTTTTATCAAATCTGTTCCTTGCTCTTTTTGTTCCTTTCTGACTTCTTTTCAGTTAATCGTTGCTGTTATTCTATTTTCTCCCCCTATTAGATTGTTGGTTGTGTGTCCTATTATAATTCTTTCCTTAATTACTCTGGAAATTACAAAGTATATCCTTGGTTTATGAAACTTTAATGTAGTATATTTATTATTATTTTTTTAGACAATGCAGCCACTTTTTAAACCCTATTTACCCCTGTCTGACTTTTTGCTGCTCTTAACATTGACCAACATATTTGCCCTTTCCTCCTAGTGCTCTTCAATACTTCCTTCATTTCTATGCTTCCGACTGGGACCATTTTCTGTACTTTCTCTAATATTGATCTAGTCGTGGTGGATTATCTCCAGTTTTGGTCTGCAATGACTTTATTTTGCCTTCCATATTTGAAGGATAGTTTTTGCTGAGTATGGAATTCTGAATTGGCAATCATGTGTTTCAGGCACTTTGAAAAAGTTATTCCACCATGTTCTGACTTTATTGCTTCACTCTGTACTAGATACTCTACTGTTCTTCCCACAGTTACAACATGGCTAGGTCAACCAGTATCCCAGGAGGGCTGGGGCATCAAGAGGCAAAGGGAGCAAGGAGCAAGGTTGTTGGACAGGGCAATAGAAGCCATTATTGGATGCACATAAATAGCAGTTACTGGAGAGACTGGATCATCAGATTTCTATCATGAGTACTTAAGATCCTAAATAGTTTGCTTTTATGTGTCTGCAGCAGATGTTAAAAAACAAACCAACATTCATCCCAATTTCTGTTTTTATGAAAYTGGATCTGAAAAGATTTCCAGGCCAGAAAGTTGTCATTTTCTGTTGAGTGTAATTTTTATTTATGAAAAATAGTGATCATGTTTCATTGGCTGTATACTTAGCAAGTGCCCTTGGCACTGGCAGAATAATTTTTTTCATTAATTTGTAGATTGAAAGGATCCAGAATCCAGATCTCTGGAATAGCTACCAGGCAAAGAAAAAAACCATGGATGCCAAGAATGGCCAGGTACAAAATGAGAGGCTACTCTTCCACGGAACAGATGGTGGCTCTGTGCTATATGTCAATGGAAATGGCTTCAACCGCAGTTATGCTGGAAAGAATGGTAAGAAGTGAGGGATCTGCCTGCTCCAGAGGAGGTGTCAGCTATGAGAACCCAAGCTGACTAGGGACAATGTGGATTTACTTATTTTCCCCATGGTTGGTGACCAGGTTGCAGACAAAGTTTCAGGGTAGGACTTACTGTATTCCATCCTAAAGGGACTCAATGGCCCTACGAGGTGGACAATTTGATTTTTAAAAACGAAACACACATGGATCCAGGCGCCATGGTACACGCCTGTAATCCTAGTGGCTTGGTAGGCTGAGGCAGGAGGATTGTGAGTTCAAAGCCAGCCTCAGCAATTTAGCGAGGCCCTAAGCAACTCAGTGAGACCCTGTCTCTAAATAAAATACAAAAAGGGCTGGGGATGTGGCTCAGTGATTAAGAGACCCTGGGTTCAATCCCTGGTACCAAAAAAGAAAAAAAAAAGACACAAAATATTTAAACTGAACATTGTTTTTTTTTTTTTTTTTTTTTTTTACATTATTTGACATAGTGGACCAACATGTCAAATTCTACACTAAATTGAAATTCTTAAACGTGTTTTGTTTTTCTCTTCACAGCTGTAGCATATGGAAAGGGAACCTATTTTGCTGTTAATGCCAGTTATTCTGCCAATGACACTTACTCCAGACCAGATGTAAATGGGAAAAAGCATATGTATTATGTGCGAGTACTTACTGGAATCTATACCCGCGGACACAGTTCATTAATTGTGCCTCCTTCAAAGAATACGCAAAATCCGACGGACCTGTATGACTCTGTCACGGATAATGAACAAAGTCCAAGTATATTTGTAGTATTTTATGACTATCAGGCATACCCAGAGTACCTCATAACTTTTAGATAACATTTTGGGTTCTTTCTCAAAAGCCATTGTTCATTTATACCTGTCTAGTTGTAAAAACAAGTATCTGATTTTTAAAAACCTCTTAACAGCTTTTTCCAAGATTAAAATATCCTTCTGTGGCACTGAAAACTTCTCAGCTTCTCTTTCATGATGGAGATGAATTATGTTGAGAGCAAATAAATTTGAGAATTTGGGTGGACAACTGTGTGTCCACAGGTATGGACATCAAATCCATGGGAAAGGAACAGGTTTATATATTCAAGAAGGAGAGACTTATGGTCTCACAGACAGTAGACACAACCATACAAWTCCAGCTGCCACTAGCAGGAGGACTCAGCTGGAATCATGTCAAGATGCTACAGTGCTCTAGGAAGTATGGTGTGACTAAGTGCTGGGCTGCTGTCTTCCTTGGGGGCCGGCATGATGTCTTATTCATGTTTTTGTCCTTGGAGTGTGGTCTCTATCTGAGGTGTAATGGATGTTCCATAAGTGTTTGATAAATCAATCTGGAATGAAAAAGCCTTCTTAGTCAGATTCCTACCCAAAATAGGAGCCATCTCATCAGTATCCTTGACCTATATTGCCTTTTAATAGATTCCACTTCGGGGAACTTCTTCCTTCACAAACCAGCCCATGCCATGTGGGAGCTTGAGCTAGGGCTCTGACTACAGTGTGCTTGCACTCTGCACAAATGGGCACAGGTGGATTGCATCTCATGGAGTTGTGCAGCCCAGAAGCCACTCTACCTGCCAAACACTGAACCTAAGTTTGCCTTCTTACCACATCTACTCACTGGTATTGACACTGTTCCATGAAAACAATGGGACAATCTTCAGTGGATGCCCTCCTATGCAGCTAAGRTGGATGGACTCTCAGGTTACTACACAGTGTATTTCCCTTGGYAGCCTCGCTTTTGACAGTTTTAAAGCCATGTGTATAAATAAGCCAAAGGAATTAAGCAGTCATTTTGCTAATTTGATAACTCAATATCTATTGGATGGTTGAGTTGGTTTTTATTTAACTTCCTCAGATAAATTTCAGATTCAAACACCATTTGTTGAAAACGTAGGTCAAATTAGATAGTATATTAGGTGCTTTCACATACATTATTTTATTCCCACAAACAATCATGTGAGTTAAGAGTTACATTTTAAGGCTGAGGAAACATGTTCAGATTGCAAGAAGCCTCCTTGCCTGAGGTCACCTAGGCAGGAACCTCGAGAGCCAGCCACTGAGTCTTGGTGCCTTAGCACCCTTTGCTCTTCTTCCCAGCACAGAACATGGTCTCTAAATTAATGCCATCGATTTGGGAATATCCCAAATAATCTTTGAAAACTCCCATAATTCCTTAGCTTTTTCCCTTCTAGCTTTGGTTTCCATTACATCTCCTCATTCGAAGTTCTGTAGGCCAAGAAGCCAGAGCCAACGCTGATGGGAAGCCAGTGCAGATGGCACACCTGGATGCTGGGATGGCGGGAGGATAGAGTCGCTCTTCCGAGGCTACAGGGAGCAACACCAGACCTTCCTTCCTGTGGAGGAGGGTGAGGAGGTCACAGGTGCTTCTCCATTGACAGAGGTCTTCCAACTTCGGCTGCTGCCGCCATTTGTCTATATTTGGATGGCAAAGACTCTGTATGTCTTGGGGGAGTGGCTTTCTAGCCAATGGCATCTGAACCCAGCACCAACAACTTGGAATAAAAAACACAGACCTAGTCTCATTTGCTTTTGTTCTCCAGGGCAAGGCTGAAAAGCAGAGTGTGGTGCACTTAGGATTAATGATCTAGTCAGTAAATGTTATAGTTATCATCAATCTAAATAAAGATGTCATTTTCCTCCTTTTTGGGTAAAATTACTTGGAAAATTGTCACTTGGTAGAAAACACTTTTCTCCCAAAGGGCAAATGTGGGGGATATAATGCTAAACAGTGGCCACTGCTGATAAAAAGCCACAACTAAACGTGACAGCATCATGGAATGCTCAAGACTACTAATATCCAGATGGAAAGTACAGGAAGGGAGGGGCATAAGACAGGAATAGTTCAGTAAATCTGGAGGGAAACTTGACTTCCAGCAAGTAGCCCCCCTGCTGAAACAGGCCCACTTTGAGCCTGTGATAGATCCTGGTGGGTCAGCATAGAGACTACAACTTCTTTGGTATTTAAATTACGCGAGGTGTGTGCTGAAACCACAAGTCTGGGCTCCATCCCAAAGGAGTCGTATCTGTAGTTGTAGTGGGCTGAGGAATCTGCATTTTCAGCAAGCATCTCAAATGATTCTGACAGCCCAGATACCCAGGGCCATCAGGACTTTGATGGGCCCAAGAGGCTTTTTTGCCTTTGTAGTCCTTTCCCTTAGTATCTAAAACAATTTGAAATTTTTAGCAACTGCATCGATATAAAACATGAATGTAGCTAAGACTGGATTATATTCATTTTTTTCTGGCATTAAAAGAAATTAAAACATCTTTGTGGATTTCTGAAAGTATCACAGGCCCTTGCATTGTGCCTACTGAACCAAATGGATATATGAACTCTGCTGACTCACACCTTGGTGTTGTGATATTAGGTATAAGTCTGAGCATGTGTTCTTGAGCTCCTTTGGCCTGTGGTGAGTCAAAGTATTCACTGACTAATTGGTTTCACTCCCTTAGGTGTGCTTATCCACGAGACGCAGCATGAAGTGGGCACCAGCTCCATTGATGGGTGACAGTCCCCCCTTTCCRCTGTTCTCTCTTACAATGTCCCTTTGCCGATGGACCAGGATCTCTGGCTGCCTCATAATCTCGATCCCTGTAAAACCAGGAAATTAACTCCCATTTATACTTAGAAATCCAATTATACCAATGTCTTATCTTCTTCCCAGGCCTCTGCATGTCAAGGACTAGTACTTATAACTGAATGAAAGGCTTTCTCTCAGGAGACCTTTTAAACCTTTCTGACCCCAACCTAGCTAAGTACATACATCTAGGCCAGTACATGTGCAGAATAAATAAAAAGTTTTATGATAACTATACTTCACCTCAAAGTAAGATTTTCCTGAAGTTTCACACAATAATGCTTACACTTACTACTGCAAGTCACTGAAATTATCTATAATTTTGAATATTTGCATGATTTTGAGTTGTATTGAATCCTAACACATTCTATTTCATATTGATCTCAGTCTGTAAATCAATATTTTGACTCATTAATGGGTCATAACATAGTAAACATAAAAATTACCTGAAGAAAAAGATAAACCTTATATTTGGCCACAATATCCTCTGCCCCAAAGTATGGAGTATTGCAAACAAGTCCTTTAATCTGCTTAGTCAAATATTTAATGAGCACCTATTATGTGCTGGGAACGGATCAAAGTTCTTAGGAATAACTGTAGAATGTGCAGGGCATGCAAAGTTCTGAGATGGGGAGAGACTGACTAGAATGGCCTGTGCTCTGTTCTAATTCTCTTTACAAACATCGTGCCCTTCAGTGCTTTAGCCCAGCAAACCATGTGGCCCCCAAGGCACATATCTCAGGGCTGGCTGCTTTCCAGGGTCTCAAGTGGGCTAAATGCCAGATGACACTCCATTTGCCCAGCATAGTTTTCTTGGCCTTGAGAGACTGATGCACAATGAGTCCTCGGCTTCTATTGTCCTTTGCTGCATTTAGTAAGTAATAATTCCACTTTATATAACTTGTGCGTGTTCTCTCTCACCAGAGTCAAGACAAGTTGGTAATCAAGACACTGAACTTGCTTCATAGATGGTGACAAGTGTCACAGAAGGGCCCTTTTCAGAGCCTTCTTTTCTTGGGTGTGCTCACATAACAACAGCCTCCCTTTCTCTCTCCCAGAAGCACCTACTGTCTTTGGATTTATTGATACCTTCAGTGTGAGGAAAGATAGATGGGGCCAGTAGGCAGTTGGTTCTAATAGGTGACTTCCCGTATCTTTTTTTATTGAGCATTTGTTTTATGCATGGTTACTCAGAGATCAATATGCTTTCTAATTTCTAAATTGTTAATTATCTCCAGGTCTTCTTACAAATATGAGGGTAGGGTCCATCTCACTAAACTATGCTTTCGGCCACTATTTCAGCAGTTGGTAGTACCCAGTACCATCTAATTCCAGGATTGGTATTCCTGCACAAGGAGAACTCATCTTGGACCCCCACCTGCTTTCCTCTTAAGGCTTGTATTTATATTTCCTCCTTGGTGCTTATATTTAAAATAGGATGGGATGGAGGAGGAAAAGCAAAGTTAACTGAGGAAAGACTTACAATAAAAGGAGTCACTTTGGCCAAAGAGCAATGTGTTTCCTGCTCTGAATGACAGGGGTCACCAGTGAGAATTCTGCAGGTGTCAGAAGTGAGATCACCTCAGATCCAGGCTAGAATCCATCTAATGAATTCATCCAACCAGGAGCTGGCAAACCTTTTCTGTAAAGGACATACAGTAAACATTTTTGGCTTTCTGGGCCATACAGTCTCTGTACTGAACTCTGCCACTGACATGGTAAAGCTGCCATAGATAATATAAAATAAATGACAAAGGTGTGTTCCAGTAAAGCCTTATTTACAAAAAGCAGCAGCGTGTTGTTGCCTGGTTGAAGCGGATGGAGAGACTGCTTACGGCTGGAAACACTTGAGGCTTATATGTAAAACAGGCTGAAAGGAGGAGGAATGGCAAAGGGACTAAGGAAAGGCTTACAAATAAAAGGAACCAGTCTGGCCAGACAGCAATGTGCAGAGCAAACCAACTGATTTTTAATTAGGTACGAATAAGTTCATTTACAAACATGTGCAAATTGACCTTTTGCTGTGCATTTTTAAATTGTAAAGAAGTCATATTATTTAGAAATATCCTTAAAATGTTATTTAAAAAGTCATCGATTGGAATCACAAGCTTTTCCCTTGTAACAAAAGTTGTGCCACCATTCTGGTCACTTGTGGATTCACCAAGCAGTCCAACAAGTCGTCTGTGGAAATGAATGTTTGAGAAGGGGCTGGAGCACTGTTTGAAGCCATTTGATCCACCCCAGCATTGTCACTTGTACTCATCGTCTGCTGCCTATCAGCACAAAACAGTTTTGCAAAGTGTTTTCCATCTTTGTCGACAAAGTCTTTGCCATCACTTTCAAATATGCCTCCTCCTTCTGAAGGTGTTTCTTTGGATCTCAGTGTTACAGGGACCAGATCAGGGCCAAAGAGGCTTGCTGCCTCCTGTTTTATGGCTGCCATGGTTCCTTCCATCTCCATGCGGTTGCACGTGTTTAAATCTTCCTTTTGCAGGTTCTCCTTACTTGTTCTTAGTGCTTGAATTTCTACTCCTTTGRATGTTTTGTAATGATCAAGAAAGGCAGCTACAGCTCCATTTAAGTAGTGGCAATTGACTTCATGGGATGTTTCCTCAACCTAAGGAAAACAAATACCCTTTAGAAAGACATTTAGATAAATGGAAAGCAAGTGCCCTAGCCATGGTTGATTTACCACAGAAAGCAACAACCACGATGAGAACAAGAGGTAGCCTACCTCCGTGGGGTTTAACCATGCTCTGGTATTGTGTGGGTCCTCTGCAGTTTTCAGTGCACACACAAGCATGCGGGTGATGGCTTCCTCCACCCGGGCAAGGTGGTCCTCTTCCTAAAGTGAGATAAAAAACTTCATTTTTAGCATTTGTCTCTGTGTCTCATGACTTAAAATGGAGAATAGGGTCCCTTTTAACTTTGTGCTCCATTCTCTCATCAATATAAGTATTGTTAGAGAAGGAGCAAATATATTGACAGAACTATAATTTTTATATATTCACTATTATCTGCCATCTAGAAGAGGTACAGAATATTTCACCACATTTAAGTGTTCATGTTGTGTATGAGACACAGGTCTTAAGTATGAATCATCTTAAGATGGTTTCTCCATATTTTGACATGTTTAAAAATCTTAAGAAAAGTACTAAACTAAAATACAAAAGAATGATCCCCAGAGTTTGAAAACCAACTTATTTGAGAGATGGGAGAAAAATAATAGCAATGCCTGGCTATAAGAATGAGATAACTAGGGGCTGGGGCTGGGGCTCAGTGGTAGAGCACTTGCCTCGCATGTATGAGGCCCTAGGTTCAATCCTTAGCACCACATAAAATAAACAAACAAAATAAGGTTAAAAAAAAAAGAATGAGATAACTATCTATCTAAACAACTTTTCTAAGATATGACAAATATAAACTGTAGCATTAATGATAAATGACACTTAAATCAGCAACTTCTACTCATCAAAAACACCATAAGGAAAAAACCACTACAAGTCTATAATATACAAGTATTATAATACACACAATATAATTGATGAAAGATTAATATCTAGGAGAGAGATCCTGCACATATAAGACAAATGACATAATTTTTTCAAATGGGCAAAAGTCAAAAAAGAGCATTCATATGACTAATAAGTATATGAAAATATACTTAACCTTCAAAGAAATACGAATCCAGAAGCCCATGAAACTGACAAAGGAGGGTCTCATAATTCTAAGTGTGGAGAAATGCAGGATCCTAGACAGGAGGCTTACTAATGGTGGGAGCTCTAACTGATAGACAGAAAATGTGTTTTAAGAGACATGTACAAGAACATTCTTTCATAAAAACAAAAACTTGGAAATAATTCAATTATCCATCAACAGAACAATGAATACATGGTGGAACCTAAACACAAAACAATATTGTAGGGAATGAGTGAAAAGCTACATGTGACAACACAAATGAACCTCAAAAACAGTACTGAATTTCAAAGAGCAAATCCCCACGATAAGACACCATTTCACACGAGGATGGCTTAAAAAAAAAAAAAAGAAATTAACAAATGTTGGTGAGGACGTGGAAAAATCAGAATCTTCATAAATTGCTGGGAAAAACATATAATGGGGCAGTTACTTTGGAAATAGTCTGGGAATTCAGTAGGCTAAACACAGAACATAGGTGATAATTAACCTTGACTTAAGTTGGCTAGGCTATAATACCCAGTTGTTTGCCCAAATGCTAGTCCAGATGTTGTTGTGAAGATATTTTCAAGATGCTATTAGCATTGACCATCAGTTGACTTTAAGTAATAAAGATCACCCTCAATAATATGAATGATCCTCATCCAATCAGTTGAAGGCTTTAAGAGTAAAAACAGGTTTCCCAGAGAAGAAATCCTGCCTCAAGAATGGAACAGAAATCCTGTGTGAGTCTCTTCTACATCAGTTAGCCCTACAGATTTCAGACTCTTGACTGCAGCTCCAACTCTTGTCTGAGTTCCCTGCCTGCCCTGCAAATTATAGACTTGTCAGCTCCTATAAATCAAGTAAGCCAGTTCCTTAAAGGGAATCTCAATCTTTCTCTTTCCCCATTCTATAGACAGATAACAATATATGTCTATGTGTAGGCAGAAAGCACATAGATATCTATATATACTTACATGTGGATACCGTAAGTATATATGTCTATATATACATAGGAATATAACTGCTGGGTCAAATGGTTATCACCCAGGGTTCCCCAAAGAAATAGAACCAATGGAATATATATATAGAGAGATAACCGTTAACAGATAACATCATCTACTACTAGATTCACCATGTACACCATATACCATAAGATCCATGTTGTACCATGTACCAATATTTTTTCTTTATTTCTTCTGAAGGCTGAAAAATATTCCATTTTATGCATACACCACCCTTTATCAATTAATGGGTGGTGTTCACTTTTGGCTACTGTGAACATGTGTGTACACAGGTTTTATGTGGATACATATTTCATTTCTCTTGAGTATACACCTACGAACGGCATTGCTGGGTCATATGGTCTGTCAGGGTTCTCCAGGGAAAGAGAAACAACAGAATACATGAATGGATATATATAGGTAATAAGACATTTTTTGAGAAAGAGATTGAGATTAGTTAAAATTATGCATATATGAGTATGCCATATTAAAACCCACTGATCTGGGCTGGGGTTGTGCCTCAGTGGTAGAGTGCTTGCCTAGCATTTGTGAGGCACTGAGTTTGATTCTCAACACCATGTATACATATATAAAATAAGGGTACACTGACAACTAAAAATATTTTAAAAACTCCACTGTTCTGAATAATTACTATGCACCAATAAGAATTTTTTTAAAAAGAAAGAATGAAGACAGTGAAAAAATGGAGGGAGGGGCTTGGAAAGAGCACAACATAAAAGCAAGTCTTTGGTGATATTCCTAGTTTGGGGGTTAGGAGATAGATTCACTAATATTCATTATATTATCCTTTATATATTACAAATGTATTACATATATACCCTTTTACATGTAGAAATATTATAAAAGATATACTAAATAAAGATTATGAAAAAAGAGGAAAGCCTTTAAAATTAATGAAAAAATTTTCTAGCAAAGTTTTGAAAAAATAGTGATAAATACATTTCAATACCCCAAAAAATAAGGAGATGAAAAGGCACCAATGAGAATATACTTTACTCCCAGGTAATATAAAAAAAAAAGTCAGAAGCTGCATTTCTTTAACAGAGAAATTCAGAGGAGATAAATATTATATCACCTGCACAGAAGTAGACTCTCTACTATTTTCTGGATCTTTGAACATCATAAACTGGAATTAACTTAAAGTTCTGCGAGTATGGTAGGTTTTAAGACCTAAGAGCTTTCTGGAGCTAAATTTGGCAACAAGAACACTCTAATAACTGACAATACAATATGCAACACATAGCAGAGGAAAATGTAATTAGTCAATTACTGTTTTGCATTCTAGTTTTTAAAAAAGGAACAAATGGTCTTTAAATTGTGAACTGTACAGAGGAAGGTAAATAAGGAACTGGAGTCCTAGTTTGATGAAGGACAAAAATCGTCCACTTCAACTCAGTATTGAGTCCTCAGTATCGTTTATCTAACTTGTGAGTACCTCCTGGAGATCTGTTTATACTCAATGATACCAACCCTCTGGAGAACTAGAAAAAACCCTCTAGAAGAATTAGACAGTGTATAATAAGGTTTTAAAAAGACCATGGTGAAATCTTTCAGACTATTGAGACCATGCAATTCAAATCTAAATAAAATATGAACAATCAGTATACATTAAGACCAAATTGAAAAAAAAAAAGATGCAAACTGGACTTGTTCTAGAAATTAAGGGTGATTAATATAAAAAAATCAAATGATATAGTTTACTACAATACCAGATTTTTACCAAAGAGGAAGATCATATGATCATCTCCACTGACACTTAAAATCCATTCAACAAAATAACACCTTTTCCTGATTCTTTTTTCCCCTGTGGTGCTGGGAATTGAACCAGGGCCTTGCTCATTCTAGGCAAGCATGATACCATTGAGCTACATCTCCAGTCTCCCTTTCCTGATTTTGATTAAAAAGAAAAAAAAATGTATATATATATATATATATATATATATATATATACTTAACTTGATAATATATATAAATATACTCAATCCTAAAGCTGCATTTTAAAGAGAAATCACTAGAATTCTCTTTAAAGTAAGGAACAAAAACATCTCTAGCAATTAGAGAAATATAAATTAAAACTACACTGTGATTTTATCTCATTCTAGTCCAAATAGCAAATATCAAGAATACAAGTAATAATAAATCTAATTAGGATGTGGGGAAAAGGATACCCTTATGCATTGCTGGTGGGACAGCAAATTGTTGCAACCATTCTGGAAAGCTATGAGAGTCCTCAGAAAACCAGGAATGGAACCACTGTTTGACCCGGTTATCCCATTCCTTGGTATACTAAAGTGACATGGCCACATCAATGTTTCTAGCAGCTCAATTCACAATAGCTAAGCTATGGAACCAACATTGAATGGATAAAGAAAATGTGTTTTTTGTACACAATGGAATATTACTCAGCCATAAAAAGAATGACTTTATGACACTGACCAGCAAATGGATGGAACTAGAGACTATCATGCTAAGTGAAATAGGCCAATCCCCAAACCAAAGGTTGAATGTTCTTTCTGATATGTGTATACTAACTCAAGGGGGAGGGAGAGAAGAATAGAAGTTCAGTGAATTAGACAAGGAGAAGAATAAAGGGAAGAGAGGGGGGAATGGAAATAGGAAAGACAGTGGAATGAATCTGACATAACTTTCCTACATACATATATGAGTATACCCCATGAATCTCAATATCATGTACACATACATGACTGAGATCCTAATTAGAATAAGTTATACTCCATGTTTGTACAAATATGCCAAAATAGACTCTACTGTCTATTAAAAAGAACAAATAAAAATTAAAAAATAAAGTGAGGAACAAAACAAGTATACCTGTTATCTGCTGCAGTCTGGCTGGGCACAAAATCACGAGCCACTCAAGCAGGAACAAACTTTATTTTTGAAACTGCCGCCAATGCCCTGTATGCCCCGGGGAAGATTGCTGATCCACACACCCCACACACTGCAGGCTACTCCCAGAACCCCAGAGGAAGTTCCTCSCCCGGAATTCCCTCCTACTGCACTTCCCCAACCAATGGGAACTCTCCAGGAGTCCCGTAGCAGGCGGAGGTGAACAGCAGGAGTCTAATATCCATATGAATGCAGATCTTAACATAATCATATAATCTCAATGGCTAGCTGGCTCACCTTTCAACCAAAAATGCCATGCATCATATTACTTGGCTGTGGCTCTTAGCAGTTATCTTTGTTATTTACTATTGAATTGGATGTACTAGCCAATATCACCAGAAAAAGGAAAATAACTATAGGCAAACAAACTAAAATGGAAGAAGTAACTATCTTCATTTTTGGTAACCCGAGAGACACCTGAAAAATCTAAGAAAGTCAATAACAAATTACAACAAAATAATTCAAATTTATACCAAAATCAATAACCATCACATATACTAACAATACCCAGTAATAAGATATAAGGGAAAAGCAGATCCTTCTTGCCAATCAGCAAAAAAACATGAAATACTCAGGAATAAACTTTTTAAAAAGAAATGTACAATGCCTAAGTGAGGAAAAGTTTAAAATATTCCTTTAATAAAGAAAACTGGACTTGGACAAGAGGAAAGGCATCTTATTCTTGGACAGGACAATTCAATATCATAAAGTTGATAAGAAATTTAATATGGATTAAATCAAAATATCAGTAGGTTTTTTTCTCCTGAAGATAGACAAGTTGACTTTAAACAGTATATGAAAAGTAATGAGAGCTCTTTCCCCACGGGGCCTGCCAGATGTCACCGCTTTCTTCCTATCAAGATGAAATTTCTCAGCCTGACCAAGAGGATAAAAGCAAGGTTGGTCCCATGAGGCCATGACAAGGGAGAGAAAGGAGGACTCCTCGACGCCCCGCCTCATATGAACACAAACTCAAACCCGGGATCTATTTAGTGAGGTGGGGGAGGAGCGACAATGATCCCGGTTGAGTCAACTGCAGCTGCGCACAGTTCCATTTCCGTCTCCGCCCCTGAGAACCTGTAGCACAACCTGTCATGGCGACC